GAGGTGTCGCTGGCGTGACTATGTTGCCGTTGAAGCCTGTGATAGCCGTTCTGGCTTTCGTAACCGTCGCTACAGCAGCGAAGCTTGAAACCCTAGGTAGGTTGCACCTGCTTCCTCAGGCACGTCGAACAGCCAGAAGAAATATGGTATTTCTGGAATGAAGATACTGGCCATTCCTTTATTTACGAAAAGGATTTACGGCATTATTGAGAACACAGGAAACATGCGAGACCGTACGTATTGTTTGGTCTGTCCTGCTTCTCGGGCTCGTCGCCGGCGGGACAGGACGCGCATCATCAGCCCGAGTTTAACGCTTCATTTATAACGCCTGTACTATTGCTACTACAGTTTATACTGCATGATTGCATCTGCAAAAGGCCAAAGCTGAAGATAATGCAAGTGTAAAACAAATGAGTGAATCAAATCAAGAATGAAAAAGATAACTCTGAAAAAGCGGTTATTGCTTCATTGCAAGACACCTGTGTAAGTTTCATGTTTTGGGAAATATGTGCTTTAAACACAATCTATTGTGAAAAGTGATATTAAATGACGATACCTAAATCTTTAAGTTCCCATTATAAGAAAGATTGTTAATACAACTAATAGGCGACTACGATGGCTGCTGTGGAACTGAAGCGCTTCAATTGCCGCTCGCACCAGCTTCGAATACTTCATTCGTGTGTGCAAGGCAGACCAAAGTTTAAAACAGAACTAAGTCCAAAAAGAACAATTCCACAGATATTCAAATTTCACTAGACCTGTGTTTCATTTACTAGTGTTGCAGTCTTGCAAGCATTGGCTTTATGTACTTGAAGTATGCATGTGGGCAGTGAAGTCATCAATAATGTGGAGATTATCATTCACCATCAAAGTTGTCAATAGCATACATATAAGATTATCAATTTCACGGACTTCAGTGCATAGATGACCAACAAACCCTAATCTTCTTCGAACTAAACATCACATAGTAATCCTCTGCATTGTCAGTTACTGTATTATTTTCCGACATCGGGGATATTTTGTACAACGCACTCATCATATAGTTACGCATGATGTCCTTGTAATTAATGTGTGTGATTATAGTAAATGGAATAAATCCATGTGTATTTTGCTAGTTGAACTCGATAGGCATACTCGCAAAATAAAGTGCATTTGTGTGTGCTTGTATACTTTATACATGAATATACGTTATATGTATATGTATGTATATACATTTATGTAAGCATATTTGTGTATATGGAAATACGAAGCATACTCTCTCCCTCTCTCTCTCTTACACACACACACATATATATGATAAATAGGTAGCTTTCGAGGTAATCCTTATTCCGCCGTGCTTTACTGACTGGACCATGTTTCAGATAATGCTTCCCTGAGAGCCATCGACAGCGAGGAGGTGGCGCCGGGCTACCAGCCAAACCAGGTGCCCGTGCAAGGCGACTGGCAGGAGGAGGAGAAGGACGACGACGACGACCTGTATGACTATGACTACGAGGATTACCCGGAGGAAGATCATTCCGAAGAGTACCCAAGCCACCAGGATGACGATTCGGACGCCGGCGAGTACGAGGACTACGGTGAAGAAGAGTTCGTTGAGCAGGGACAAGGCGTGAGTGACGGCGTTCTCAGGCGCCAGAAGAGGAAGTTGATCTACGGCGGTGGGGCTTACGGCAGGCGTGGAGGCTCTCGCGGAGGCTCGCCCTACGGACGTCGCCGCAGCAACCAGAACTACCATGGCCCCGACTACGGCCCGGGCGGCGGCGGTCCCAGCGGCGGCTACTACGGAAGGCGTAGCTCGCCCGTAGCTGCCCCTCCAGCCGGCCGACCACAGTAGCCACGGTGGCCAAGCCGACGGCTCCCCCGAAGAAGAAGAGCGCAGGTAACGTCCAGCCGACGTACAAGAGTAAGACAGGTCGCCGGGAGACGAAGAAGAAGCTCTCGAAGGAGCTGAAGACGGGCATTGCGAAGTACGCGATCCTGAACGGGAACGGAAGGGCCGCTGAACACTACCGCGACATCATCGGCAGGAAGCTGAGCGAGAAGACGATAGAGAAGTTCGTGAGGAGGCACCAGAAGAAAATCAAGAAGAACCAAAAGGGAGATCAATAGAGGAAGGCTTGGGAATGCGTTTCATGCTGCGCCTCGCCTTCCTGGAAAGGGAGACACACGAGGGATCAGTTTTGCGAAGCCTTTACCTTCCGTTTCTGAGTACTTTGCAATATTTGCAAAACGATACCTCCCATAACTGTAGTACCTGTATTTCAACCTTAGTATATCAACATTGTTATACCTCATACGTCGGCCGACAGATGTCGTCTTGAGTCAATACTACGCCCTGTAGACCTCGCTTTCTGCTCCTTGAGTCTGTTCCCCTCAAAGCCATGGCGATCCGAAGTCCCCTCTGCTTAGCCCTGATTTTCAAGACACTTCAGCAGGAGACGACATGTATGTTGAAGTTAAAAGATATGTGGTATGGAAAGTGCAGGCAGATTATTTCTAAATTTCACTCTAAGGAAAGAGTCTAGCAGAACACTTCTTCTCGTCGTTGCTGAAACTGTTTTAATATATCCTTCCTTATGGGATGGAAAATGCATGACTAAACTGCTGTATTTGTATTGTATGAATCAAATTGTACCGCAATAGTCTGAATGGGTTTTATACCGAAATTCACCTTTCTGGTTGAACGATAATCAAACAATAACTCACAGATCAGTTATTCATTGAATTCATATCTCATTATTTCATATGCAAGTTCTAAATACTTTACTTTTTCACACTGTCATATTTGTCTGTGCTATTTTTTGTTTTTTGTAGGATATGTAATTTTCCCCCTTTTTATGCCCCGCCTGCTTTGTCTTTTTGTAAGCTATGTATGTATTTACTTGAGTATGTCTCTCTGTGTGTTTATATTCATATGACTTGCCAGCAGTTTCTGAAGTTGGCTGTTCAGTTATACAGAGTCACTGTATTTTATCAAATAGTCGAAGCTAAATTGCGTTTCAATGAAATTAAACCTTGTACATAAATTACACTGCCTTCTGTAATACCATCGCCGCTTCGCAGTCAGGCCAAGTAAAAAAAATACCTTTGGTTCATGGATCAAACTCCTTAGGGAAGTGGTCGGTAGGTCAGGATTTTTATTCTATTTTATTTCATTACTATTATATTATATATATAATATATTATATATATATATAATATATATGTGTATATATATATAATATTTTTTTTTCATGAGCACTACCTCACTCTAAACCCTGCGCTCCAGACCTATATATAACACTGGAAAAATAAAACAGGTTTAAATTCAAAAAGCAAATCTTGTGTACTTCTTAAAGCCTCCGTGAGAGGGCTGCCATTTTGATACTGAGAGGATACACGCTCGCCCTATGCAGTGTCGGCCGTCATGGGCTAGTGCCAGTAGTCCGAGGTTTGCCCAGTGTGCTTTGGTATCATAAATCTAGATGGTTGGCCCTTGGGGTTGTGTTTTTGGCGTATTTTTGAAAACCAGGGTTATGGAGCTTGGTAGACGGGAAATTTTAGTTGGCATTTTTTCGGCAAAAAGTACGGTCGCTTGGCTTACCTGAGCCAAAGGTATTCTTTCTTTTGGCCTTAATACATTTGTCAATTTGAAGTGCCAGTTCCCTGCGTGATCGACTTTATTGGGAATTCATAAAATGGTTGATAATTGAATATTCATACACAAGTGCACACACACACACACACATATATATATATTTATATCTATCTATCTCTATATACATATAAATACAGTTACCTATTTTATAAGAGATTCAGGAAAAAAAGGCTTAAGCACATACAATCTCATACAAACAAAAGCACTGTAAGTAGGTAGGCTCTCGCTGACACACTCAAGTACAAGTAAATCTACGTCTGGAACGCTTAAGTAAAAAAAAAAATATAATAATAAAATAAAAAAATCAATAATAATATAAATAAAAATTTAAGAGTTCTCGGCCATTCTTTATTCTGTACATAATTTAACCTATCCCTATGAATCTGAGCCTGAAAATATGAAGTAAAAACAACTGAAAATAAGAAGTAAAAGACAAAACTACCAACACAGCCAAACTACGTACTTCAGCTGACAAATTGACACACGCCCGGGCAGTCCAGCTGTACGGTCGTTTTCCTCTTACAGCACGTTTCACACTTGTTAAGAGACGTTTTAATGCAGTTTATGTGATTTACTAACTCTGAAGCTTATTTGTTCATCTGAAGTGCCAGCTCCCTGCGTCGTCGACTTCATTTTAATAGGATGGGCGTTTTAGTAGAGTTTACGTTAGACGTGGAGTGAGAAAGAGAAAGAGGGAGAGAGGGAGAGGAAAGGGTGGGAGGGAGAGAAGGGGGGGAGAGAGAGAGAGAGAAGGGGATAGAAGGGGGGAGAGAGAGAGAGAGAGAATGGCGGCCCGAGAATTTGCTAAATCTCGCAGCTAGTCAGTTTAAACAAAGTTTAACTTCACACACAAGCTTCTTTTAGTTTTCTTTAATTCATTAACTGTTTCCTTATGCTTATTGTCTTGTAAGTTGCCCCTTTGTATTTGTCGGTCATCCAGCATTTTTTAATCAATATACAAAAAAGATAAAGATAAATAAACAAAAACTAGTGAATTTAAACGGGTATGAAACGCCAAATTTCGCTATTTGTTGCACAAAAATTGCTTCACAAATGTTTGCCTGTAATGCTGCTGCTCTTCAGTAAGTTTATTTTTTTATATTTGCCACAATATCAACATTGCCCACAGGATTAGAAGTTATCTACGCATTTCCATCTTAAAGTCTACTAAATTCTAAATGTCATGAGAAGAATAACCATTGTAATTAATGGAATAAAGTGTTTTGACTTTGACTTCGACTTGACTTTTCATTCCAGCCTTCTTTATATGCTACGTTTCCATGTTTTATACTTATTCAGTTACATTTTTTTTAACGTCAGCATCCTTATTTTCAACTGATGATATATATATATATATATATATATATATATACATATATATACATACATATATATATATATATTTTTTTCTTTTCTCTAGTTAGTTGTTGAACACATCGTCAACAAAGGCTCCACTCTATATGCATGTATTGCATTATTTCGCACTGAACAAACTGATGGCGCATTGACATATGATATTAATCTGTTTGACAGATATAACTCTACCTTATGGGTATTTATATTATATAATATTATATTATATTATATATATATATATATATATTATTTAGCGAAGTTTTCTTTTTTTTTTTTCATTCGTTGTTAATTTTTGAAGCAGCTGCCGATTTACATTCTTCGAGAGGTCCATTCAGAAAAGAGCGATACCAGCTCAGCTAACTTAAAGTTAAAGTTAAAGTTAAAGGATAACTAAAGAAAATGTGAAGAAAAGTGGCTATGATCTCACTTTTGAAGTAGTTGGCCATTTATCAGTAAATTTTGTATGTGTCCTTACCTCACACTTGGTTTATTCCGCGTGTAGTAGACTCCCTCGAGTCAATCAGTAACTTAGTTTTGAATACCTATACATCTAAAACAATACAAAAAAAAATCCTTGATATCAAAGTACATACGTATGAATATAAATGAAAAAATAGGTGAGGATAAAAAGAAAAAAATCAACAACATAGCAACTACAACTCCCACTCTCCGCTCTAATTCCATCCGCGGTCGGGGTAACATCCTAGGTTCATCGGGTCAGCCAGCTACGCATATGACCCTTCAACGGATGTGACGTCATCTGGCCCAAGGTCATCTAACCAGCCAGTCCGCTAACGCATTTTACTGTTTATTCCGCTTCGTGTATTTCCTTTCGTCGTAATGTAATTCCTTTCGTTATTTTGGCGTCACACGTGCAATAATCACGGTTGCAATATTTGATTGTACGTACTGGGTCATGGTCGGTGCAATTACTCAACATGTAACTGACACATACATACACACACACCACATATGTGTGTGTGTGTGTGTGTGCGTCCGTATAGCAAAATTTAGTGTTACAACTAATAGAGTAAATTATGATGATTATTTATAAATGGTTCGTTAATTTCAATATTCACATTTTAGTATTCATAACCGTTCTTCAGACGGGTCATTGGTCTCATCTCGCACACAGGTATATTCAGTGCCGGAAGATGGAAAAGCCAATTAATATGAATATGGAATCCACATGTGTAATGACCGCTTTTGGTCTTGGCATAGTTTGAATTGTGCGGTAAATTTCCATTTGAATCTACACATATTCGCCAGGGATACCGCATTCGTAAATTTTATTTTTAGGAACCAATATCTGCCTTAATTTCAGTCCGGTAGAATATTAGATATGACTGTAAGAAAATGTTTAAAAAGATTCTATCGTGTAAAGGAAAAGGAAATGTCCTCATTTTTTTTTCGTTTGCACTCGAAAATGTTTGGTCGGTTGCGTGGGGAACAGGCAGGCGTCACTCTTTACCCTGGGCCTTCATGGAGAGCGTGTGAGATCGCTCCTTCTCTCAAATCCTTGGAAAACTGAAACTTATACGGGAGAACTCGAGTGATAAGTCCGGTAAATAACTTCTTTTCCTTCGGCCTTCATGGAGAACAGATAAGAACCGAACAGGCAAGCTACGCCAGTGAGCAGAATAGGTTTGGAAGGAACAAGAGAGTCGGCAAAATGGCGCTGTGACGGTCAGCCTTCGAAATTTGGCGTTTTACTGAGGTGAGTTGAATTCACCCATTTGTTACATGGTAAGTCCAGTAGTTCTATGATGAGTTATAATGCAGACAACTTGGTGAGTGATTCCAAGAGTAAATAAATCGATTTTCTTGTCATTTTTTTGTGTTAGGAATAAATTATGGGAACTTATTCTAACCGTTTTACAGAATTGCGATGTTATTGTTCACTATTTTCATTTACCTTGTGTAACAATGCACCGATTATTGGATAGGGGTTATAGCGAGAGTGGATTACTTAAAATTGGGACCGTTACAACCGCCTAGGTTAGATTTCCTTGTGTTATTTAAGAAATTTTGTAGTAACGACTTTCTCTCCCCTATACCATATGACTGGGTAATGAATGGGCAATACTAATTAAGGCAGCTGCACTACATATACCGAGGAAAGTATAATAGAATTATTGACTGGTGTTCGTACATGTCGGGGAAGTTTATAAAATTTTGGGGATCTCACTGGTTATGCCTTAATTGAAATTCAAAGGTTGCGTCTTGGATCCACAAACCTCGATGTCTCGAACCGACTCGAAATACTGAGGGTCCGGGGGCTTGTGTGTGTGTGCCCCCCCCCCCTTCAATCCCCTCCACGGGTCCCCAAGATTGAAGGGGGTAGTAGAAGAAGAAAAAAAAATCTATACCTTCGCCACACCGATATCGACGATAACATTCCACTGAATCAGCATACTAACCTTGACATAGTCAGCATTGTATACAGACACGATTGTAGTATAATCAGGATGAACAGAGTATACCATGAACAGAAGAGCACCCTCGTCGGCGGGTTTTGCGCCTCTGTCGATGTTACGCCGATGGCCTCAAGGTCGAGTTTCCCGTCCCCTGGAACACGATTTTCGAAATCCTAACCGAAATAACCGTCGCATTCAGTACTTTCGCCATGGCCGCCGCGATGACAGTGTGTGAAGGGTGCTCCTACTCCGAGATAGATTTTCTGCGCGAGGTAGCAACAAGCCAGGATGAGATTCTGCGTGAAGGAGCACCCTCTCTACTATCGGGCATTTATCAATAAGGTTGAGGAAAAATATAAACTCAACACACGGCCTGTTGAATGCCAGCCCATAGATTTGTTTATTTAATTCACTGTGGACTATTCTTACGACATGGTGGAAGATCCGGCAACGCATGCGCATTCACTCTAATTTCGCACGAAGGTGATTGCGCTTAATATTTTTATTGTGTTCTGCGCTGTGCCTGTTGTTGGTTGAGTGTAACGTGTGTTTGTCATATGTGTGCTGCTGACAAGGCCTAGTT